AGATGGTGTCATCACAGGACATGAGATGGTGTCATCACATGACATTAGATTGTGTCATCACTGGACATGAGATTGTGTCATCACAGGACATGATAATGTGTCATCCCAGGACAGGATATCGTTTCATCACAGGACATGAGATGGTGTTATCACAGGGCATAATATTGTGTCCTGTGATGACACAATATTATGCCCTGGGATGACACCATCTCATGTCCTGTTATGACACAATCTCATGTCCTGTGATGACACTGTCCTGTGATGACACCAGCTCATGTCCTGTGATGACACAATCTTATGCCCTGTGATGACACCATCTCATGTCGTCTGATGACAACAGCTCATTTCCTGTGATGACACAATATTATGCCCTGGGATGACACCATCTCATGTCCTGTTATGACACAATCTCATGTCCTGTGATGACACTGTCCTGTGATGACACCAGCTCATGTCTTGTGATGACACCATCTCATGTCCAGTGATGACACAATATCATGTCCTTTGATGACACCATCTCATGTCCTGTTATGACACAATCTCATGTCCTGTGATGACACCAGCTCATGTCTTGTGATGACACCATCTCATGTCCTGTGCTGATACAATATCATGTCCTGTGATGACATCATCTCATGTCCTGTGATGACACCACCTCATGTCATCTGACGACATCATCTCATGTCCTGTGATGACACCATATCATGTCCTGTGATGACAAAATATCATGTCTTGTGATGACACAATATCATGTCCTGTGATGTCACCATCTCATGTCCTGTGATGACAACATCTCATGTCCTGTGATGACACCACCTCATGTCATCTGACGACATCATCTCATGTCCTGTGATGACACAATAACATGTCCTGTGATGACACCATCACAGGACATGAGATGGTGTCATCACAGGGCATAATATTGTGTCATCACAGGACATGAGCTGGTGTCATCACAGGACATGAGATGGTGTCATCACAGGACATGATATTGTGTCATCACAGGACATGAGATGGTATCATCACAGGACATGAGATGGTGTCATCACAGGACATGTTATTGTGTCATCACAGGACATGAGATGGTGTCATCACAGGACATGTTATTGTGTAATCACAGGACATGAGATGGTGTCATCATAGGACAAGAGATTGTGTCATCACAGGACATGATATTATGTCATCACTGGACATCAGATTGTGTCATCACAGGACATGAGCTGGTGTCATCACAGGACATGATATTGTGTTATCACAGGACATGAGATTGTGTCATCACAGGACATGATATTGTGTCATCACTGGACATCAGATTGTGTCATCACAGGACATGAGCTGGTGTCACCACAGGACATAAGATGGTGTCATCACAGGACATGATATTTTGTCGTCACTGGACATCAGATTGTGTCATCACTGGACATGAGGTGGTGTGATCACTAGACATGTGATGGTGTCATCACAGGACATGAGATGATGTCATCACAGGACATGAGGTGATGTCATCACATGAGGTCGTTTCATCGCTTGACGGCAAGTTAAGTCATCCGGTTATAAGATTTTTCTTTTGAAAGCAATTGAAAACAAACAAGATGATTTTTTTTTCTTTTCCTTTTATTATCAAAACAAAACTTTCAAGTAATTCATTTTCAATTCAGTTGATAAACAAATCAGAAATGTTAGTTTAAAAACCATAAACATAATTCATAAAGTGTATGTCGGTTAATTATGGAATTTTTTGCAGATTTAATTTCTATCTAGTTCAGTTGGACAACTAGCAGTTTCGGAAAACGCTTCCATTAAAGGTTTTGATTGGCATTTTAGGGCCTGAATAAACGCAACTACAATGTTAATTTTATATTATAATTAGATTATACAAATCCTATCAAAATAATATTTGGCGAAGAGACATAAATAAAAAGAAATGTCAAATAACAATGATTGGATGTACAAGTGACTTCATATATGACGTCATTACCTGTGAAAATGTCATCAGGCATTCTCAGTCATCTTGAAATGCATGTCTAATGTTATGACTACTTTGAATAATATGATCAATTATAAAATGTACGTGTATTAGAATGCTTATATAAAAATGCAAAATGTGAAAATATAAGTTGAAGTAGTGCTAGTTAGTGATATGAACTTGGGAAGCGAAATGAGAAAACAGCTGCAAATCTAAATCATCAATCGGGACCTGTTGGACATTTTCAAATACTCGTTTAACTTACGGAAAGTGCCGACCGTTCCCGATTGCTGCAGTATACAGCAGCTTTACAGCAGCCGTGAATAATGGACAAATATTTCACGTCATTAACAAATTCATTCTAATGCTCTATGTTCTCTGTTACTTGTATTTACATATGTAGCAACGATTTATAGCGAATGTAACAAGTCTGCTATTGAATTTGTATTTTTGAATGCAATAAAATTTCCTGTAAAATTAACAGTCACATTTGTCACATTGGAATTACAGAGGAACTGGGATAAAGTTAGTTATATAGTAGACATTACTCATAAGATCACGGTTGTTTTACACCATGGCCATAAACTCGTCTAGGCTGATGATTCCGTCGTCGTTCGTATCAACTTTGGCAAACATTTTGTCGATATCGGCGTCACTACACCCACGGCTTTTCACCAGCTGTCGGACCTCGTCCTTACTGATACTTCCGCTGTGGTCTTTGTCAATGTCATCAAACGCTTTCCGGAATTCTGCCCTGTAACAATATCAATACCTTCAGCAAGATTCATCAGTTAGGAAATATGTATTATCAAAGTTTTACTTTATACACAATGTACGTATTAAACGTGTCGCAACGTTTCAAGACCGACTGGTCCCTTAGTCACGGTCTTGAAAGTTGCAACAGAGACCAGTCGGTCTTCAAACGTTGCGGCGCATGGACGTTCTACCTTCTTGCCACTGTCGATCATCGAGTCTAAACCTGCTACATTATTCTTTTTCCTCTAAAGTCTCCGCCCTTGAAGACAACATTAATATATGTATAAGCCTTGTTCAGGTATCCGCTTTTGCCCAACCGGGAACCATCGGCACTTTCCGTAAACGACAAAATACTCGTTAACGGAAGGTGCTGACGATTCCCGATTGTCCGCTTGCCAAGAGCAAACAGCTTGTCACATGGAATCATTTGTAATAGGATGAGACGAAATCCAACTTCCCTGAACAGGGTTTGAACCCAAGACATATAACTCTGAGACGCTCTCCTAATTGAGTAACCTGGTAACTGGCGATTTACAGACAGTTTTTAATGAGTTCTACTACATCTACAAGATAAAACACCTTCATCCAAGATGCTAAAATAGTGACTGTATACCGGGACACTTTCGCCCAGCCAAACCGTTTCGCCCTTCGCCCCTTACACGACCGTCTACATAAGCAAAATCTATAGAATATAATCAAACATATCTTATCAAATGATGCATTACACTGTATTGCAGAGTGATACCAACATGTATTAAGACACTAGTTGTGAGTCAAACTGACAAAGAAAGATGTTCAGCTGTAGACTTATCCATCCCGTAGTCTGTCTGTAAAAATAAATTATATAGACAACAAAAACATATGTTGCACCATGTAATAAAGTGTAAATCTCTTGCGCCAGAATAAATTGTAAATCTAGATCATACTGAGTCTGGGTCTTGAAGTCAGTCTGATCTTCATGGATTTCCAATGTATTGGAAATAACATGAAGGACACTAGTACTTGCCTTCTGGGTTTCTTCAACATTTCTCCTAAGAACTCATCCAAGGTGACTTTGCCGTCTCCGTTTTTGTCCAGACAGCAGAACATATCCTGAAACCACATCAAAGTCACAATAAGTGTTGTGCTTTTCTATGAAAGCATAAACAGTTGCTGACCGTTTAACCTAGAAAATGTGACATAAACCGCGGCCTGTACCGATATCAAATCACTGTCACCTTGACCTTTAGGGTACACCTGTATACCTATAACGTCAGTGTAACCTTGACCTTGACAGTAACATTATACAACACATCTGTGCATGCAATAAGCCAAAGTGACCTTGACCTTGACGGTAACAACATATCACCCATATACATCTATTAAGTCAATGCAAAATTGACCTTGATTTAACGTGATTTAACACCTGTACATCAATAAAAAAGAAATAACATTTAAATTGGTGTTTTGAAATGTGTGTGAAAAGCAACATGCCTTACGTCTTATATACATATGGATAATTCGGCACAAATGTTTTGAAGGTTCATACAATACAGTCCGGAAAAGCATTGTAATTATTTGACCTTTGACCAATTTGCTGTGATCTGTGTTTGGTGGTCGATGCATATTCTTGTTCATTAATTACGGTCCTGACATCTGAACACTTGGTGTGACATGGTATTGTGGTAACTTGTGTAGGATAAACAGTCTTGACCAACAGAAATGTAAAATGGTTGATTAGACATTCTAGGAGCATTGCATTAATTTGGCCATTGACCCCTCGATTCATCTTGACGTTATGGGCACAGACCTGTGTGTGGTACGCAACTGACCCTATTTCATAATACTCCTAATTGCAACAAATCATTTTGTCATAAAACTCCAATATATAAAATTCCATCAAGTACATTTGACAGCCTTAAGAGTTATGGTTCGGACGACACCAGAACGAATCGTCCGGAAGAATAGCTTTGCCCGACTGTATTGCCTGACTATATTGCCCGACTATATTGCCTGATAACACTCTAAAATAGCTTGATGACAAACCTTCTTTACTTGGTGACACACTAGCATTGCCTGATGTCACACAAACATCGCTGGCGACACACTAGCGTTGCCTGGTAACAAACCAGTGTTTCCTGGTGACACTATCGATGCCTGGTTACCCACTTGCGTTGCGTGGTGACACGCTTATTTCGCTTGGCTACACACTTGCGCTGCCTATCGACAAACTATCGTTGCCTGGCTTCACACTAGCGTTGCCTATCGTTTCCTGGCTACACGCTAGTGTTGCCCATCTATAAACTAGCGTTGCCTATCGACAAATTATCGTTGCCTGGCTACACGCTAGCGTTGCCTATCGACAAATTATCGTTGCCTGGCTACACGCTGGCGTTGCCCCACGACAAACTATCGTTGCCTGGCTACACGCTAGCATTACCTATCGACAAGCTATCGTTTCCTGGCTACACGCTAGCGTTGCATGATTCCACACTGATATTGCATGGTGACTTACAATCGTTACCTTGTGACAAAACAAGCAATGTTTGGAGACGCACTAGCTTAGGATGGTGTTAGCGTTGCCTGCTGACTTACTTGCAATACGTGTGATACAGGCGGATATAGCTTGGTTCAAAACTAAAATACATTTTAACAATCTCAACATGCGCGTGCAATGTAAAATTGTAAGTTTTTCTTTTAAAATTTTCTTCATATTTAAGTTTGTAGTCAGGACGACGAAATTGAACCATCCATGTACCCAGTACACACACTGACTTGCCCTCGTTGAGGAGCAAATTCCATCAATGCCTAATCAAGACCTAAAATACGACTGCGGAGGTTCAAGGACTGCGAGACATCAGAACCGATTCAAAATTCGATCAGAAACAATAACAAAGCAGTTATAACAGCAGGAGCGCAAGGAATAGAAGCATTTAACGTATCAATCCCTCCCAACAGGGATTAACCGAAGCTAAGTAACGCATGCGTACTTAACCCCCTCCGTATTAAAGCCATTCTGGTCTCTTTGGAGTATAACAGCCCTGACGCCAGACTTTTCGGGATTTATCATACCCGGCTCGACTGAGGAAACTCAAATAAGGGGAGATATAAGAGGTGTTTAAAACAACAAACAATATATACGATAAGTGTGCAACGGATGTGTGAAGATGTGGAAAGATCAATTACAAAGACAGGGAATAAGAGGACATCCAATGAACGAATTCCCTCAACATTCTAGAGTACATACATGTATTCGCAAGAATATAGAACAATCTTCCGGAAAATGTGGTATTAGCACCGACTGTATAAACACTTTTAAAAACAGGCTGGAAGAGCATTGGGAAAACTAGGAACTCCTATATAATTATAGATCTGAGATACGTTAATGATCCAAGCAACGTCACATTCATCTATTATTAAATATTTCACTGTCATGATTTTGAGTCCAGTGAAGAGGATATTTATAGATTGATTGGTTTGGTGTTGGTTTTATTTTGTTTAACGTCCTATTAACAGCTAATGTCATTTAAGGACGTGCCTCCTTTTGTGTTGTGTATGCGTTTATGTGTGTATATGTATGTGTGCCGAAGACAGGGTATGTTGGGGTACTTGTCTCCTTGTGATAGTATTATCTGATGCCGACTTTATAGTGCTATCTCACTGAAATACCATGCCGAAGGCACCCTGCACACCATTCCGCCCGGTCACATTATACTGACAACGGGTGAACTAGTTGCCATTACCCTAAATGCTGAACGTTCAGCAGGGAATGATAACTACCATTTTTAAGGACGTTGGTATGTCCCACATTACTCACTTCTTACGATACACATGCATTTGGTAACAGCAGGTGTATTCTTTTTCACGTTCCCAAATCTGCAGGGGTTTGACAGATAGATATCCCACACCAGACATATATCTGTCAGAATGCTTGTACAAAGGATTAAGGTCGCCTTCTAGCTTCGAGCTAGAGGGAATTTCCCTTTAGCTCAGTGGTAGAGCGTTCGACTAGGAACCTGGAGATCGTGGGTTTGATCCCCGGTGGAAGCACACTATTCTCTTTCCTGTTACACAATGTATTCTACGCCCCTCACCCAACAACCTTTGTTGTTATACATTGAAAGCTCCATAATTGTCTTGTACACCGTGAACTCTTTCTACTGGCCATGGACTGCTGCCGATACAGCGGACATAAACAGAGCGTATGCGTATATCATTATCTATACCAGTTGACAGCTATACCTTCCTCACACACATTAATGTTCAAATTTGGAGAATATATTAAAATTTGATTTTCAAAAGGAAACAACTTTTTATTGGTAGTTGTAAATTAGAGATGTGAAAAGAGATTTATCTGTCTCACTAACCGCCATTAAAATTCCACGTCGCTATAATTTGCAACATCCAGGTGTACTCCGCTTATACTAATGAAATTATTCAGAGCTCACAGGTAACAAACATGTATACATGTATCTATGTCGTAAGGGATTTTTTTAAACTATTTCAAACACTGAAAAAGACACGGAATACTATACATAACATTGTTATATATTTTTTCATCAAATTAAATATCAAACTCCGTCGCATTAAATTGTCTCGTGTGTCAGTGATGCCAGATTAGCTTTGCTACTTTGAAAGACCTTCTGTAGGTATACAATGATAAATTAGCGTCCTACAGCTAAAATGACGCTCCTTGTATTAAAACCGATACCCTTTGTACCGATATCGTCGCTTCTTATAATGAAATCGACGTTCATTGTACTGAAATCGACGCCCCTTGTACTGAAATCTATACCCATGTAGTGAAATTGACGTTCCTTGCACTGACATTCAAGCGCTTTGTACTGAAATCGAAGACTGTTGTACTGAAACGGACGCTCCTTGTACTGAAATCAACTCCCTTTCTACTGAAAGCAACGCCTCCTGTACTGAAATCAACGACCCATGTACTGAAATCAACGCCCTTTGTACGTACTGAAATCAACGTCCCCTGTACTGAAATCAACTCTCCACTCCTTGTACTGAAATCAACGTCCCATGTACTGAAATCAACGTCCCATGTAGTGAAATCAACGTTCCCTGTACTGAAATCAACTCTCCACTCCTTGTGCTGAAATCAACGTCCCCTGTACTGAAATCAACTCTCCACTCCTTGTACTGAACTCGACACACATTTCATTATTTCGAAGCCCCCTATACAGAAACTTACGCTTCCTACACACGGGGGTAATCCCGAAATTTGCTATTTAGCTTACGTCAGAGTAATACTCGCTTTTTGGATTACGTCAGAGCAAAAAGTTAGTTTTGCGCCAAATACGGCTTACGGCAGCGAAAAAATCACCTACGATTGGAAGAGTGTTGCGGAAAAATACAAGATTACGTAAGTGTAATGATGTGATTTAAGCAACAAAGTTGAAACAATAAATAACACAAAAGCCTTTTGATTGTATAGATTCTATCACATGCACGTGTCATAGTAGATTTAATACTTCAATTATGAATATTTTGACGTAATACACAAACCTACGTGTGTTTGATAGGAAGATGAATAATGTGGGGGTAATCAGCATGTCTGTCCGTCTGTCCCTAGAAAAAGTTTGTCCAGACAACTCCTTCTAAAGTAATGGACCAAATTCAACAAAACTTTCCAGATATGATTACTATCACCTGCATTTGTGCATCCAGCAATTCTCTTTTCACTCTGACCCTTTTTGACGAAGTTATGGCCCTTTGTTGAACAAATCCTGAAACTTTTTGTCCGGACAACTCCTTCTAAAGTTATGGATCGATTTCAACGAAACTTTCCAGATATGATAACTACCACCTGAAGTTGTGCATCCAGGTTTTCTTTTTTCATCCTGACCCTTTTATACAAAGTTATGTCCCTTTGTTGAAAAATCCTTGTCCGGACAACTCCTCCAAAAGCACGGGGCAAATTTCAACGAAATTTTTCAGATATGGTAACTACCACCTGAAGTTGTGCATCCAGACATTATTTTGTTATTTTCAGCATTTTTTTAGGGAGTAATGATCTTTTGTTGAAAAATCTTTGTTCGGACAACTTCTCCAAAACTACTGGGACAATTTCAATGAAAGTTTTAATATAAGATAACTACAATCAGCTGTGGTGCATCCATGTATTATTTGTTCAATCTGACCCCCTTTTTTACGGAGTAATGGCCCTTTGTTGAAAAATATTTGTCCAGACAACTCCTCCAAAACTATGGGGGCAATTTCAACAGTAATTTTCAGATATGATAACTACCCATTGCTGGTGTGCATCCAGGTATTTTTTTCCAACCCATTTTTATGGAGGTATGGCCCTTTCTTGAAAAATTCTTGTCCTGACAACTTTCTCCTAATCTACTCGGCCAATTTCAAAGTTTAGAGATATGGTAACTGCCCCCTGATGTTGTGCATTCAAGTAGTACTTTTTCATTCCGACCCTTTTAAAAGGAGTTACGGCCCTTTGTTGAAAAAAAACCTTCGTCTATCTCCTAACCTACTGGTCCAATTTCAATGAAAGTTTACAGATATGGTAATTACCCCCTGATGTCGTGCATCAGGGTGGTATATATTTTTTTTACTTCTGTGTGTATGCTGAAGATGTATTGTGTTATGTTTGTTGTGTGACCGTGCTTCCAACAGTATCATTTATAGTGCCACCTCTCTTGAATGCTACAGCACAGATACAGCAACATCCACCCCTGCCAATTTATACTCCACCTGGGTTGTTAGAGTTGTGTGGCCAGGAGAAACACAGTTGAATAAGGACAATAACCATAAAACAGGCTATTACAAGTGTTAGGAATCATTTTTAATTACGTAATGGATGATTGGTGTGTGACCCATATCATATAGATTAAGTTTGATAACATTCCGACAAAAAAATACCTTTTTAAAATGAACGTGTTGTTCCTATGATAATATATTGGGATATGTATCGCAATATATTCATTCTGTGTTGCAATACACCGTACTCCACTCTAGGCGCATTGTGCCACCCCTAATACTCAGAATTTGCCAAAGAAAATGACAGTACTACGTTACATGTATGCATACATAATCCCTTCGTGTGCGACCGATCTGTATAATACTTGTATAGTGTGTTCGGGACTGTGGGTGTATTGATACAGTTACATTATAGTAACATAGACTCAGGTTTATAATGTTGTGTGTGATGACTCGAGAGGCATGACTGACCACATATGGAATGTTGGTAAACGTTCATCGAAAGTAGACCGGGCTAGGACTCTGTAGGATTTCAACTGAACTTGATATGGCTGGCTAAACAAACATATATATGAAAGTCTAATTTGCATTGTACACCTTTACAAAATATAAGTGTGTAATTTATTTACATCGCGTGTACTATATTGTGATGGTAATACTATAGTGTTGTGTGTCGGGGCATATTGGCAATGTTACATTTGATAGAATTTCACACTTTTAAGGGGAATATACAATTAACCCATTCACCCCTAAAGTCACATTTGAATCGTACCAAAGACTGGCCAAGTCCAGTTTAAATATGTAGGGGGTAGCTAGGGGTGAATTAGATAAAACATCCTTCGCTCTGGCAAAAAAAAGCATCTGAAATAAAATTCCTTCACAAAGCTACCGAACGCGTTGAGAAATACTAGTTAACTATCATTGACGAAGTTGCCGAGCTTGTTAAACACCGCATTATAACTTCTAAAAAATATGCAGGGGAGTGTGAGTTTCTAATACTTACCACCAAATCCCTGTCGGAAATATCTTGGCCAAACTCAATGATGACCATTCTCTTAAGCTCCCCCGGCGTTACTTCCCCATCGTTGTTCTTGTCGGCCTTCCGGAACACGCCTGTAAACTTCGCTTTATCCTCCTGTGCCATCGTTCGTACGTATACAGACAGCACCACAAACAGCTAAAGAATCGACACACGAGTTGGTTTTACCTTCCTCTGCGTGAGATAAACACTCGGACAATTTCACTGGTCTGTCGTTACTTGCAGAAGTATGTCTGTGATATGTGTCCCGCAGCTTATGAATGGGGAGAGTAGTAAGTTAGAGTGACGCAAACTTGACACGCCCACTCGTCAACCTTGGTTTGGCTCCAGGTTAAAACCGGTTACCGTGGCTACGGTTCAGCCACGGTACATATTATTGTCTGTAACTTCGTGACAGTTGGTGAAACTAACCTACACACAGACTTATGATCTATTGTCACTTACTTCATGTGTGTATGTCTGTCACGCTGTGCCACGTCATAACACAGGTAAACATGACGGTAAACCACTCGTTAGGGTGTTTCCTTGTCTATGGACTTTAGCAAGTCTACTATGAGTTGAAAGAGCCTAAGACTTAGATCAATAAGGAGACATACAAGTAAATATCATAAAGATTGATAACCAGTCTACTGACACTGAAACTAATGACGATTAGGGTGTCTGATCTCAGGGGCCCGACACATGACTATATAATGATGATAAGGGTGTCTGATCTCAGGGGCCCCGACACGTGACTATATAATGACGATTAGGGTTTCTGATCTCAGGGGCCCGACACATGACTATATCATGACGATTAGGGTGTCTAATCTCAGGGGCCCGACGCATGACTATATAATAACATAGTCGTATATATCTTTTTTTTACTCATAAAGAGCTTGTCCGGATCTTACAAGAAAACTCCACCCTCCCTCCCGCCTGTCCAAGCCCTGCGCCTTTGATGAGGAGTGATTCTGTCCATTATGTGATAGAACGCTAGAATCAGAAGTCAATTATGTGATAAAACTCTAGAATCAGAAGTCCATTATGTGATAGAACTCTAGAATCAGAAGTCTATTATGTGATAGAACTCTAGAATCAGAAGTCCATTATGTAATAGAACTCTAGAATCAGAAGTCTATTATGTCATAGAAATCTAGAATCAGAAGTCCATTTTGTGATAGAACTCTAGAATCAGAAGTCCATTATGTGATAGAACTCTAGAATCAAAAGTCTATTATGTGATAGACCTCTAGAATCAGAAGTCCATTATGTGATAGAACTCTAGAATTAGAAGTCCATTATGTGATAGAACTCTAGAATCAGAAGTCCATTATGTAATACAACTTTAGAATCAGAAGTCCATTATGTGATAGAACTTTAGAATCAGAAGTCCATTATGTGATAGAACTCTAGAATCAGAAGTCCATTATGTGATAGAACTCTAGAATCAGTAGTCTATTATGTGATAGAACTCTAGAATCAGAAGTCCATTATGGGATAGAACTCTAGAATCAGAAGTCCATTATGTGATAGAACTCTAGAATCAGAAGTC